CCTGAGCATGAAACAAGAAATATTAGTAAATTAGTAGTAACTCTGGTGAGTCAAAGTAATGCTGTAACAGAGCATTAAGTTCCTTCTGCTCACCCTTTCCTGCAGTGTTTTGTTTTGGGAATCACAAGCCATTTGGATTCTTGAACAGTTTGTATCATGATTGTCCTCCCATGGCTTTTACAGCCTTGTACACACTTGGCACTACAATCCCAGTAGAGAAGCACAGACAACAACAACAAAGCAGAAATGAAGCAGCCAGAACAAAATGAGGGCATGATCTGATCAGTGAGAGCTTAGCAGAGACAGAATCCAAATTTGTAGCATCCATGTGATCCAAACCAAAATCATGTTTTAAATTCCTTCCATTATACAGTACATTGTACCAAACTACTGGTGCAATTGAGAACGTGTGTTTCTGTTAGGTACACAACATTTTCCCCAGGATAAAATTTATTGTGGGTTAAATTCTGATGATCATGTGTGAACTGTCAAGCAATATGTATTTATTTACAACTTAATGTCTTATTCTACTTCCTGTGTGGATTAGGGTTAGTATTTCAGCCCACTTTGTGATATTTTGTACAGAAACATTTAATTTGGAAAACGATGGACACAAGAAAACGCCTACTATATAATTATTAACTGAACAGAAGAAAGTCTGCTGTTTGCACAACTGAACCATTTCCATAGTGGTTACTGATGTGTCTTTTGGTATGTGTATTGGAGAATGTGGCCTATATTTGCCTGTCCCTCTTTCTCCTCAAAGAGAGCTGATTGCACAACTGTACCATTTCTGTAGTGGTTACTGATGTGTATTTTGGTATATGTATTGGAGAATGTGGCCTATATTTGCCTGTCCCTCTTTCTCCTCAAAGAGAGCTGATTGGTTATTTGAAAGGAGGCTCCTCTTTACAACAGGTCAAAGACCAGTTAGTTTTAAGTCTTCACACAAAATTCGGCTCAATCTCTCGGTCTGTCTGCCGAAACTTCACTTAGGCTACTTGGGAACCAGGACATCAGTCATGATGCAGCGGGCTTTCTTCGGTCGGAGCCTGCTACTCGCCCAGCAGGCAGCAGTAGGCCTGGACAGTCCACTGGCCCCTAGGAGCGCACCGCTGCTGCAGCGCCTGGAGCGCCCCATGTCCTCTGTGACCATCCCGCCGCCCGCATGCATGCTCCGTCCGCTCGAAGTTCCAATGCGTTATCTGTTCGGACCAGGACCGTCAAATGTTCCTCCACGCATATTAGCTGCAGGAGCGAGGCAGATCATTGGTCACACGCACACGGAAATGTATGAGGTAAATGCTTAGTGTGAAACTCAGACTGAAAGGCTTATATATAATCAAATTACTTCATGACGAAAATAAGCAATTTTTACTCAAGTTCTGAACTTCAGCACAATTTAAAGATAGAACTCCACTTAGAGTTTTCCAGGTGGAAAACTCAGAATACAAACTTACTGATCTCAGGACAACAGTAGTGCATTTTAGCTTTGTGGTATAATTCTTTCTTTAGCTGAGTAAAATTGTTTGAATGTGTTTCCATCCCTGTAAAATGGGTTGTAATAGACAAATTTAAACTTACAGGTTTGCTGATGTACACGACTTGTTCACGCTATCAATTCTATTTTCTAGTAATTGTAACGTGTGCGTAATTGCGCAGAGACTACAAATCCATTAAAATGATTTAATATAGTTTTTCACGACAACATCTGGTAAATTAAGCTACAATATGTTAACGTTTTCACTGTGTCTTAGATCATGAATGACATCAAGAAAGGGATCCAGTACGCCTTTCAGACAGAAAACCACATGACTATAGCGATGAGTGGCTCCGGGCACGCGGCTATGGAGTGTGCGGTGTTTAATACGGTGGAGCCCGGAGAGAGCGTCCTCATTTCCATCAACGGAATCTGGGGAGAGCGCGTTGCGGAAATCGCTGAAAGAATGGGTACGTCTTTCCACACGTGTCAGTTAAATCTCCAAACAGGATAAGAAACTTAGGGTACACACTGATATCTATCTATTGTTCAGTATTACATCATAAATGGTTTTATCTTTAGGTGCCAATGTACATAGAATGGTAAAAACGCCTGGAGGATATTTCACAAATAAAGAAATCGAACAGGTAGGTACAGACTCTGAAGCAGCCCATAGCAGACTGGACTTTATGTACCTTTACATAGTCTCTGGTGTGAACTAATAGACTGAATACAGGACAAAGAAACATAATCACAAAACTCTTCTTAGTAAACTTCTTACTTTTTTCTAGGCCATAGCAAAATACAAACCTGTCCTGTTCTTCCTCGCACATGGAGAGTCCTCTGCTGGCCTCTGTCATCCAGTAGATGGCATTGGAGACATCTGCAGAAAGTGAGCCTCCTACTGTATCTGTCTCATACAGAAATTAAGGCACATAGAAACATAACTACAAAACATAATGTTACATCTCACTCTGATCATTGTCACACCTTCCACAGACATAACTGCCTCTTCCTGGTCGACACAGTTGCCTCACTTGGAGCAGCACCAATTTTTATGGACAAGCAAAGTAAGACAATAATGAAAGACTATTTAGCTACCACGAGCTCGTGTGTGATATAACCTGCCTCTTACTGCACCCCCAGATATTGACATCCTATACTGTGGTTCTCAAAAGGCTCTGAATGCACCTCCTGGCACAGCACCCATCTCATTTAATGACAGAGCATGGTAAGGAGAACCCCGTGGTGTGTGTACCTGCATGATTTAACACTGCATAAAAACTGAGAACAAAACAAGTGTTTAAAACAACAACAACTGTCTGCCAATCTGTCACCCCACACAGCCACAAGATGTTTAACAGGAAAACAAAACCAGTATCTTACCTGTTTGACATGACACAGTTGTCCAACTACTGGGGCTGTGATGGCAAACCAGCCAGAGTGTAAGTGACCCAGTGCAGAGTGCATCCTTATTTTTGTCTTACTCACCTAAAATTTGCTTTACTTGGAATTGTGCAGGTGAAACTTAAACATAAAAATAATGTCTAATTAAACATGTGTTCTGGGTTTAGATATCACCACACCGGTCCAGTGTCTGGATTCTTTGCCCTGAGAGAGGCTCTGGCAATTCTGGCTGAGAAGGCATGTAATGACATAAATAATATAAAGTAGACTGGCTTTTGAGGACATTAGTAGGTGATTGGATGCTTCAAATGAAGGAACAGAGAAAAGGATATCTTATGTCTTTAAAACATGTTCCCTCGATTCCTCTCTCTTCACATTTTCTCCTGGCATCCTTTCCTCGTATCTTATAAGGGCGGGACTAAGACAGGAAAAAGATGAAAGTGAAGAAAACCTGGATGCAATTAAGTGAATTGTGATTATTCCTAAGAGTCTTGAAATGTACTAAGAAGAGCACTGCTTCTCACTATTTTATTCTGTCTGATTATCACTGAACTCTACTGATCTTTGTCTCCCTCTAGGGGCTGGAGGAGTCCTGGAAGAAACACAAGGAGGTGGCAGCTTACCTTTACAGAGGACTGGAGGACTTAGGTCTCAAACTCTTCATTCCTGAGAGGGTGAGGCAGACATACAACAAAACAATATGAGGGGTTACTGGTGTATTCTGGTGCCACACAAAACTACAACAAAAACATGATATTTAAAAAGAACAGCAAATACCATGTGGCAAGATAGAAAAAAGGATATACTATATCACTTAAGAATATATACAAAAATAATATAGAATATTAGAATCTGCAGTCCTGTATAAATGTAGGTCTCTTTATGTTGCATCGCGGCCATTGCAGCAGTATTCCTCTTTGGTGTTGCTCTGTTGTGACCGCTGTACTTTTTTTATGTGACATGTCCTGCAGGATTTGCGGCTTCCCTCTGTTACCACCATTGCCATCCCTGATGGCTATGACTGGATGGGACTGCTGACCTACATCATGAAACACCACCAAATTGAAATGACTGGAGGCCTAGGTCCTTCTGTAGGCATGGTGAGTTGCTGTTGGTATTTCGGTGTACAGTAAATAGATTTAGGCACGGACATTACAGTCATAGTCACCAGATGAATTTTACGGTAGCTAATCTAGATAGAAGCACCATTCTCAGTGTCTCGGCAGCAGTAGGTGATGTTTTAAAAATATGGTGAGGAGGCTAAATAATTTATATTTTCACTTCTTTATTCAGTATTTCTTTACACTACAGTACACACTTAAAAAGGAACAATGCTTATTAAAATAATTTGTGCCTCCCTGAGCAATAGTGATAGCTACATAATCCCCACTATAACAGTTTATTACTTGTTTTTAAATAGAACCAATACAAGATATAGTATGCAGATTAGTCTTCTAGCATAATAAAATAATGTAGGCCAAATTTATCAATATGGTGTTTTTACAGTTTTCTGAATCATGCTGCTGAGTAACTGCAGACATTGGTGTGGCTTGCTTTTCACCTGTCTTTTTATTAGGTGATGAGGATTGGTTTGATGGGATACAACTGTGAGAAGACCAATGCTGACTTGGCACTGCATGCCCTCGAAGATGCTCTGAAGAACTACAAAAAGAGAAGGGCTTAAGAGACTGCATTCCCAGACCACTGATGCTGTATTCATTCAGAAAGGAAGAAAAAAGAAACTAAACAGCCCATGTTCCCGCATGCAGGAGATCTGGAACAGGAATATGCTTGATTTTATAAAATGCAATCCTTGTGCCTTTCTTGATACTTTTAAAATAAAGAAGCAGATACTGTCATATTGTTGATGAGCTCACTGAATTATATGAATAAAGTGTGCTTTAATTTATCAGTAACAGTTCTCCTGTCTCAATGTGTTGAAACAGTAAGAAATTATTTCAGAAATCTATACAGGTTAGCCTCAGTTACATGCATATTGGGTTAGTTTACATTTCCGAGGTGCTTAACCGTCAAAACCACATTTCCCATGATTCCATATAAGCGTGTACGTCACACTGTCACAGAGTAACTATTATTTTAGTGACAATACTCGCTTGACTGCCGTTTGCGATATTAATGGCGTGTTCTCTAAATCCCACAAGTAGGTCACCTGTTTAATTGTAAACCGAGACCAAGAAGTTGGCTATTTAAGTTGTGTAACGTTGGTTGTGGTTTGTTTGAACTGACACTTAACGCAAGTTAGCGCTAGCTATAGCCTCAGATTAGCATCTCTTGACTTTCAGACGTTGTAGGCTAGGTGCGTTCAAGGTTGCAACGTGATGAATACAGTATGAATCAATAATTATAATCTAAGAGTATAATAAGCATTAATGTCAAATGTGCAATTCTGCATAACGAGCACTTTTACTTTGATACTTGCAGTATATTTTGATAGTAGTATTTTTAAGTTCAACTTTATTATCTTGAAGGAAATTAACTTTGCAGTCAGCCGTTTTACAACAGACAACATTAACAAAAAATCACAAGAATCACATATGTGATTTTAAGCTATAGTATTTAGTATTCCTGCTTTTTCTTAAATAGGGGCTCTGAATATTTATATCACTGTAGTCTTTTTACAGTACTAATACCGCTCTACTTTTGAGGAGGAATGTGTTTAAGAAAACTTAGCCTACTCTTCAGCTGGAAGTGTACTTGTGTAAAAGTACATAGTCACCTTTAAATTGTTCTGCCAGACTTTATATGCAGTTACCAAAACTTACATAAATTAATGTGCCGGAAAACATCACCTGTACCTTCTATGACCCCTTTCTTTGTGTTGATGATGCTACACAACTGTTGTGTGTTCTACCATCAGCGGAGTTGAACCCAGCCCTCCTCCCCTTAGACTGGCTTCTGGGTACCTGGGAGTCAGATGAACCTGGCCAGGGCTGCTATCCCACCATAAAACCTTTCCGCTACACAGAGACACTGCACTTCAGCCATGTGGGACAACCAGTCATCAACTTCATGTCTGTCATTCATATCAGTCAGACTTTAAGGAATAACTTTACATGAGGCTGAACAACAGATAAATCAGATATTACAAAGTCCACTACAAAGACGAAATGAAAACATACACATATAGGTTATATACTGTATGTAATTCACACATAAATCAACTTGTATGCACACATAATGTAGACACAGGCAGATTTGCCCAACTTGAATTGCATTAGAAAAAGGCTTATGATAAAAATACAATTTCAGAAGCAAAATAAAAAGAGGAACGATTATTTAAAAGACCTCACCAGTCCTCAGCTGATTCCTCACTGACTCTGTTCCAGGTTCAATGCATTCCATGCAGAGTCTAAAAAGCCCCTGCACAGGGAGTCTGGCTTCATTCGAATGCAGCCAGGAAACAACAGAGTAGCATTTATCATTGCACAGAACTCAGGTATGTACAGTTCATGTTATACACTGCTCAAAAAAATTAAGGAAGCACTTAATCATCCCAGTTTTGAGTGATGGCGTGTCTTCTCATGCAGGCCTGGTGGAGATTGAGGAGGGGGAACTGACAGGGCATCAGCTAAAGCTGCAGACCCACGCTCTCGCCAGAATTTCTTTTGCCAAGAAGCCGCATGTGCAGCAGGTAAGACTGTGTTCTCTGATCCTGCAGCGTCAATATTTACTGCTTCATTTATTCAATAAAATCTAATCTGTGGATTATTGCTGTCTACAAAACATCAACAAACTTTGAGACTCTGGAACATAATCAATCAAAGAACACCTATGCTGATTTGTACCAGACAGCTTGCCTGTTCTGTTTTTCAGATTTTGAGAATATTTCAGCTCCGACCAGATGGGAGGCTGGAGCAGACAGTTTCCATGGCAACAGACAACCAACCACTGACACAGCACTTGCACATCACCTACCGTCCCTCATCTTGACCTAACAAGCAGGCAGGTCTTCACAGAAATACAGTATCTTAAGTCTGGAAATAAATAAATGTTGCTAAAAAAAAAGGCTCAACCTTTTTTAAGCTTCACTGTGAGATGGTTAATGTGAGAGTTCAAGATTTATTCAAAGACTGGGTGACATTGAATTTAAGATTTATAGGTTCCTTGTATATCTGACCCATTTTCTCACAATGTTCTAGTTTGGTTTATGTCTTTGTTCTATACTTACTACATTAAAATTATTGCACCTATATTTTTTACTTTACATATATACTTTGATTGCACCTCATCTTTATGGAGTGAATGTCATTTGCAGTCGAGTCTTTCCTTTCTTTCTCTTTCTGAAAAGGATACTTCTCAACTGTGATCTTTGCACATTGCATTTTAACTGCTCTGACTCACAGAGCAGGGCACAGCAAGCGGTTTAGTTCGTTGGCTTCCTTTTTATTTTGTTCCAAATCAAAAACTCAGTTTTCAACTTTTATGGGGCTGTAAGAGTTGACACTGTCATTGTTTCAGTGGGATATAATATCAATAAAGCTAATCAATAAATCTGTGTGAAGAGTTCAGTTTATTGTGGATTTAAAAAAAAAAAACATTGACACATTTATAAATTAACACTGTGAAAGTGATGACATCAAACAATCTGAAAAGCTGTTGTAAGGACTCTCTTTATACTGCAGTGGACATAGTGGAGATACAAAAATAAAATTGAACTATTTACAGATTAAAAAGGAAATCAATGTCACCAAAATGTGCACAAGTCTGTATGTACCATTCCTCTGCCCCTGCATTCTTTGGCCAAAACTGGGCCCACTGGGACCCAGTGTTTCAATCATATATGGAAGTGCAGGAGCAGGTTTTCAAAACATTCTGGATTATATTAGTGCTTTGGTGAAGTACAATAGTTTAGATTAAACTCATGAAGTGCAAGCAGTTGATACCACCCGACAGTGCTCACAGGTGTAAACTCACTGCTGACTGAAACACCTCCACTTTAACATCAGTCAAAAAAACCCAGCCAGCTGAGCATCAAGTTCTACCACACACGTGGCTTCCACCTCCATCACTCTGAGACACACTGGACCTGATCACACATTACAGTTACAACACTGGAGAAGCCTGGTTTACTGCACTGGTGTAAACAGTGGCAAAATATGTAGAAGAGGTGGAGTGATGCATGCTTGTTCTATTGCCATTCGCCCTCCTAAATATCACGGTGACTACTCTTTGGATGATGGGTAATCACTTAGACTCCTCTGATGCTGAGACAACACAGACATGATACTGATAAACACTTGTTAATGTCCATTCAGCCACCGACTGATGCCTGCTGGCAGGCCCAGTCATCCTCAGGCACAGTGACCATCTCCGCTCCATCTTTTCTTTACTGACAAGTCTGAGAGTGAAGTCTTTTATCAGGAGGACTCCATGCTCTCTGTCTTAGCCGCTCATGGCTCCTTCATGATGTAAACATAGACCGCAGTGAGGAAGTACTTCAGGGACTCCATGATCGAGGACAGCCAGTGGTGTTCTGGGGTGAGGTCCCTTTTCACCACACATTTTGTGATCTCTGCCTGCAAAAAGGAAATAGAGAGACATTTTGAATGTATAAACTCTGTGCTTTGTTTTTTTATTTGTCTTGAAAACACAAACCCATTCCAACTATTGTATGTCTAAGTGGCATTTGTAAAAGAAATCTGCCATCACAGCAGCGGCCACTTACCCATCCTCCCCGTCTCTTCAGCCAGGGAGCCAGGAACTTGCGGACAAAGTGGCCCAGACTGTCCACTAAAATGTGAACTATGGTTGGATGGCCTTGTCTGACACAATCCACTGCCAGGGCTCCAGCTACTGCATACATGGACACCACCTTCCCCCATGTTATACCTGCAGCAGGAAAACCAGACATCACTTGGTTATGTTTTAGGTCAGTCTGTGCACAGATGTGCATGCACTGATGTCTATCATTCATGTATTTCGAAAGCCAGACAAACATATTTATTCTCCATCCACTCAGAAATGCATTTTATTTATTTTTAGTTACCTTAAATACAGTATGTCACACTAACAAACATTTCTTTCCTGTTCTCATGGGTCCCTGTCCCAATCTATGCTTGGAATGGACTGGAACATATGCGCCGACATGAAGCATGTGGGGCAGTTGGTGGACCTTGTAAAAAAATTATTAATTAATTATTAATACAAGGTTTAAGTCAACAAACCAGTGCATGTGTGTTAGGGTAGCCAATAAGAAGGCTTACCGCATTACATGCCAGCTGCAAGTTAAAGAGGGAGACGCTGTGTTGCTTGTGCCTAAAGTTGAGTGAAGCGCTGATGCAGTTTCTAATGTCGGGGGCTGAACAGGTTCAGAAATGGATTTTGAGTCAGAGGCAACTGAGAGTCATAAGATCTTTTTTACCTAAAAAATCCAATCTGATTATTAAGTGCATCTGACCATTTCTACACAGAGTTCTCAGGGCAGTGGTACAACAACAGTCAGTAATACAGTGCAAGGCCTAATGGCATTAGCCTCCTTAAGGTCAGCTTGCATTGTCACTGCTGTTCCTCACACCGGATCTTCAGTGTTTGATTGTAGGGATAAGGCTCTGAGCGAGTTTAAATGAGATAACTGTCCACGGAAG